CTGGTTACGCCCCTGGTGTTTGAAGTGTTGTCTGTATTTGTTGAAGTGATTTTTCCAGTGTGTGAGGTGGAAACAACACTGGGGATAATCGGCCATGTGCCAGGTCATTTATGCCTAATATGGTGTTTCTTATTTCATTGTTTAGTTTAGCCGTTGTTGAACTTAGATGCATTAATTTAGTGAGCAATTTTAAGTTGAATTCCATACCATTCTCAATTTCTCTAAGCCCCCCCCCCCCCCCCAGTCAAAACATTTAAATTATGGTTGACCTCAATTTTTTTAACCTTGTTGTTTAGTCTATCATTTTGTTCATAAAAAATCGAATCAAAATGTTTTGGAAATTAAGTGAAAGTGGCGAGTGCTTTTTGTTGCTGAAAATATAATTTGTTCACATGACTGATCACCTTGTTTAACTGACTTTCTGTCCCAACCCCAAACAAAGAATTTGCCACATTGCCTACAATTGGGAGAACTGATCTTCTCGACCTGTTATTTTTGCAAGGGCCATCAAATGTTTTTCTAATTTGATAGTGAAGGGTCCTCAGCTCTGAGGCAGACTGGCTGTACATCCTTTTCCCTTCTTCAGTCGCACTTTCTGCAAGTACACAATTCTCTTCCAACATTTGGCCCCTGCATGAAGGCTTGTACGATGACCTTGCCGGTATTTCTGGCACATTAACCATCATTGAGTGTAGCCAGTAGTCACTGATCAGTTTCACCCTCCCTTTTTCTTTTAACTTTATTCTGTAAGCCTGTATTCTACTAAAAAAAGACCACTATGCGCTGGCCCTTCTCATGTATTGCCAACACAAATTTCTTGAATTGGGGCCACCCAACATGGTACATGCTAGGTTTATAATATATTGTTACGCCTTTGCGGCCCAGTGCCTTATGAAGGTACAAATGGCCACAAGAGCAAAGAGCCAAAGAGAGGCCGATTTATTTCAAGTCATACCTTATATACAAGTTTAGATAGTACATTTTTACCAATCAGAATCAATTATACAACGAACAGTTTTACCTTTAAGTTACCATTCACAGGAGAGATTCAAACGTGCGCACTGGACTGTACTTTACTTATAGAGACATCTATACATATATACCTGTAGCTACCGGTAGCAATATAAAACAATCTCAACTAACACACTACATTGTCACACTCCCCCCCCCCTTTTGACGAACAAAACTACAATATAAAACATAACTTTAAATTGTTAAACTAACAATTATAACTCAACAACTGAAATCTTACTTAATATTTAAAATAAGCAAGTAATGCAACTAGTTCATTTTTGAAAAGTCAATCAAGTCCATGTCTCAGCATATTTAAATGCTCATCTTTTGGAAAGCAAAACAGTTTTTAAAATCCATTTTCACTTTAAATCAACTTTAAAGTAAACAAATTGATTTTAACTCAAAGTTGTTCAAAACAACATCATCAATGATAACATTGTCAATGTGAAGATATTCAAATCATTATAGTTCATTTTTCATCCATGCATCAAAGTAAATTCTATCCACTGATACCAATGACAACTGAGTTCACGATCCTCTGACGAAAGTTTTTTTAAACAGATGATACAAAGTTCTCCAGTGAAACAAAGTCAACGAAGAATTCAGAATCTCCGTCTTGGGCTCCATACCATTTCCATAAATGTATATTTTCACAAAGTTAATTTCCTCCATGGAACAGTTACTGTACAAGATATTTGAACATGTAAAAAACTAGCAAACTTATTTTCGTTTGCACACCTACCTCGATGCTGTTATTCTCCATGATCTTTCTTCATGCCACACTTGACTTTTACTTTGGCTTCTTGTTCTGTTTTCCAGTTCTGACACTTCCTTCTCTGTGACCTACCAACATCAATGCAAGGTTATGAGGGAGTGAAAAAAACAATGATGTTAACAAAACCATGCTAACATTCTTGGCAAACCTTGTTTTGATTGTCTACCTCATCTACACTTAGTTATGTCAACTGTCATTGGCATAAAACATGCATCAACCCTTGTTTCTCCTTTACAAATTTGCATTGACATAAGTCATGTGTTAAATGTCAGACCTGGTACACGAAATTTGATTACCGAAACGAACGGTCCTTTATTGACTAGGAGTGCCTACAATAAACATTTTAAACATGAATACCTTCATTATGTTCTCGGAACATAGAAATATGCAATGACAATATCATTATCTTGAAATATAGTAATAAATTAGGCATATAAGTAGTGTGGAACTAGCCGCCGCTTACACCTGGCTTTTGACAGGGAGCTCACACAGAAACCCATATTTTACTGGAAGATTCGAGCGCGAAACCTTCAATGTTAGTGATACAATTGACACATTTATAAGAAAATACACTAACCTTTCTGTCAAATCCGGTTTCTTTCCTCTTGTGGAGGCTCCTCTTTCAACTAGTTGAAATTTTAACTTCCCCACCGTTTGCTCCCCATACTCTAGAGCCATTTCTACACGGACGCGAAAACGAGGCTATCTTCAATAACCACTATTACCCCAGCGCCCTCTTTAGGACAAACAGCTCCGCGTATAGCCCCATTGTATAGAGAGGTGGGGATGCTTTGATAACATCATATGGTCCTCTATATAAGGGTCTAAGTTCCTTACTTTCTCCCTTTTTATGACTTTCATCCCTTAAATATACCTTCTGACCACAAGTATATTCACTCTCTCTCAACTTTGCATCGTACAGTTGTTTTTGACGTTTCTGCGCACATTTCAACTTTTCTCTAGCCATTTCATGTGATCTATTTAGGCTTTCACTCAAGTTTCTTAACCATTCATGAGTCTCATATGGTATCAAATTTTCATTCACACTACCTGTTAGTAAATGGAATGGCATAAAAACTTCTCTCCCTAACATCATCATGTTAGGAGTAGACCCTGTAGATGCATTCACAGTTGAATGTAATGCCATAACTAATTGAGGTAAATCTCTATCCCAATATCTCACATTCCCTTCTACATTACATCTATAATAATCATTTGTGTAATAATACCCATGCATCTTTCAACTTGTCCATTGCTCTAAAACCAGTTGTTCTAAGTTGTTTGATTTCTAAAAGACTACACAAATTTCTAAATAAACACTTTGAAAATTTGAACCTTGATCAGTATATATCTCTTGTGGACAACTAAAAGTAACTATGAATTTTTCAAAAAATGCTTTTGCTACTAATTCAGCTGTCTGATTTGGCAATGCCACACACTCTATCCACTTAGTAAACTGATCTATCATCACAATGGTCCAAGTATGTCAAAATGAAGCTTTTCCATAGGAAATCCTGCATGATGTAATTTCATTTTGGCTTTTAGTCGAACAGTACTATGCTTGTTTTTATTGCTAAGTTCACATGAACTTACATACAATTTACAATCTCCATTCCATGCCACTTGAATGATTGTTTGAGTTTTTGCAAAGTTTTCTCATAAGCAAAATGACCAGCTGTTTTTGAATCATGGCAGAAAAATAAAACTTCATTGAAGGTGCCCGCACACGGTGAGCATTTGGCGCGCGCCACTTGCGCTGCGCCGTTTTCTCATCGTGTGCGGGGCTATTTTGGTGAGATTTTTGCCTCTCACGCGTCTGAGCAACATATCTCACGTGTTTGATATTTTTGGTCTCTTGAGGCAAATGTCTCAGCGTGTGCGGGGTGCAAGCGCCGATTGCTCACGCCATGCCAACAATGCGCATATGCCGGTAGCCGGAAAAAAAGAACAATGGCAGCCTCCAGCGAAGTAAACAAAAATGTACACAGTTATAGTTAGTCTGATTGATTAACGTGGTCACCAATTGCCATTACTTTCAGAAAAAAATAAATATGTAATGTTTCCTTAATCACATGATCCCACAGTTCGCGGTGCGTCTGATAGGGGCAGGCCGGGAGGCATCTCTGCTGAGCAAAGAGTGCATCGTTTGCGGGGAGCTGAGGAGCGCGAGCATCTGGCGCAGCGCAAGTGGCGCGCGCCAAAGGCTCACCATGTGCGGGCCCCTTGACCTAATCTTTTGGTACAATTAAACACAAATTTCTATTCTCTCTCTTTTCCCGTTTGTAATATAACACATCATTCAAAAGAATCAATTGCTCTTTGCAATTCCACAATTCTTTCAGTGCCATACTACACAAGCATAACTCTGACTCTTTAGGTTCACCATTCTCTAACCAACCTATGATTATTTTCAAATCTGCATCTTTTCTCTGCAATTTTTTCAAGTCATATCCTTTCAACCAATTTCATAATTCATCTCTTTCATTCTTATCAGTTTTATCATTTGTATCAGCCCTCTGACACTGAATGAACTGAATTTTTCACAATTTGTTTCATTCTTCATATCACCAATTGCATTCGATTCAACTACATTGTCATCTGATTTCTTAGTTCAGCTAACACACTACATCGTCACACTATAGCCTGCATTATCTAGTGTGCTTCTGAAATGCCCTGAAAGCTGTTCAATTTTGTCATTTCATTAAAGATGCTTTGCTATTATGGAGTATTAAAAACATTTGCAAGGCTTCCAAAGTAAACCCGTGGAAAGTTATTTCAAATCACGGTTGTTTTTGCAAAGGAACAAACCACATGCTCTTCAGACTGAATCTCCTCACATATACACAAATGGTCTTCCCTGCAAATCTTTGCCCACCTTCCTTTATTTCCAAACAAATTATGCACAGACAGATTAAGGCTTGCTGTTGCAGAGNGAAAATCCTCTTTTGTGTCCTTTTAACTGTTCACTATGCCACTCAGGTGTAACACCAGAATATACTCGCTCATGTGACTCTGGGTTACATTCATCTCCACCCAGACCACAGGTACTCAGACCACACTCAGACCAGACTCAGACCAGGCAGTGTCACTCTATTTCTATTTTGCCTAAGACTCCACAATTATGTAAGTTTTACTTTAATTCCTAGTATTTAATGTATTTGTTTTATTTGTAAGGTATTTTGTAAGGTATTTTGTACTTTTTTTGTTTTAGTGACCAGCAGTACAACAGTACAATATGGTGATGGGCAACTATATAAAATGAAGACACAAGACCAAGCTGAATTCAATTAAATCTAAGAACTTTGTTTGCTGTTTGTCAATGAAATCTGCCGAGAGAAAGACCATCACACATTGATACTAGTAAGTTTTTCCTTGAACAAGCTTTTACTAACCTCCTTAATTGTGATGTTCTGGTTTTTATATCTACTAGTATGTTGTTTATACTAATAAAGCAAATGAGTAGACTCCACTGGAACTAACTTTATTGTTTTGAACTCAAATAGAATATCTACACTGTTTAACAAATGACAGAACTGCTTAAATTTTTTCCCATTATGTCTTGCCGTTTACTCCCTTGTTTTGGCTAATTTTGGGAAAATTTAAGATTAGCAGTTCATTCTGTAAATGAGGCTTAACTTCAAAGAGATGTGTGGATATGGGACCTGCCATTTAAATAAAAGACTACCAATTTTTTTCGTTCCTCTTTATGAAAAACAGTACAACTTAAACAGTATAACCTAATAATTATATACATGTGTAAAATTAACTTTGATTTTGAAATACTGTAAAATTAAAAAAATAGCTTTTAACTTCATAGTGAAGACAGTTCCATATCTCAATTGAAATTCATATTGGACCTTTAGTCAGTACTGGTTTGTCTTTGTCTTTATGTCTACCAAATGTGAAATGGAGATTTCCCACATTACTTGATCTGATGATTTTACGATATTGTCTATGATTGTACCTGTAGGATCCAGTTAATCCCTAATGTATTTTGGTGAAAGTCTGTTTAGGGTTTAAAAACTAGTTTTGTTTTCTTCAATTCTACACTTTCATAAATCAGATAATTGTTATCCAGTCCAGTTTTTTAAATGTCCACTTGGATGGTTCTTGGCTTCCATTTCTTGAACCATTCTTGCACCACCCTTTTTGTAGTCTGTGTATGTCTACTTGTTTTGCTCAGCTACCTCATATTATGGAGCAGTACTAGTGCTCTAGTGCTGTTTTAAAGTATTATGTAATAGTACATCAAAATGGGCGGAAATGTTATTTGGCATACTCTTTCCTACGTCTGAATGTCTGAACATTTGTCAGCTTTGCTGCCTTATTTTCTATGTGGTGTCTGTATATTTGTAAGCTTTGCTGCGTAGTTTAAAATAATAAGAATTCTTGATTATTTCATACACTTTACTCTTAGAACCTTCTTTGTATACAAGACTTGAGATTTCAAAAAGAAACTTTTCTTTGTCATACTCTTGAAGTGACTGTCAAGGTCCTTTTCAGTAACACAGGCATTAGGTAAAAGACAGTTCAATCTATGAATATGTAATTTAATCTCATAAAACATTTTTTGCATAAGTTAGTATGCAGAGATTTCAAGGTAGGCATATCAAATAAACATGATCACAAAAGTGCAGGAATGGATGGCTACCAAATAAATTTTTGGTTTACCTTGATACCACAAAATGCTCTTAAAAATAGTAAGTTAATTTAGTACCTGAAAGGATGATATAGCATCAACCAGTAAGCTGGAACATCTGTCACAGATGCCTCCTTTCTGACCTTGGTCCAGGCTTCTAGGGAAAATAAGGCTCTATTCCCATAGATAGATCGATCTATCCCCGCGGGGAGTCTCACTAGATTACTTTCAGATAATCCGACTTTAATGTCCGTCCCGCCTACTACAAGCTGTAAGGGGATAATTAACTTTCGTGTCCGCCCGGCTGACAGCTATTTAGCGTGAACCCCCAGGGAGTTAGGTCGATCTAAAGTAGGTCGATCTAATCTATGGAAATGGGGTGTAACACTGCCGATATGTTGCTACATGCCTCATCTAGTCCAGCCATGCATGTGCAGTGTGCTCTTGACTTCCCATGAACTGGAGGTGATAGCCTACGGCACGGGTGGAGTGATTGGCCATCGATTCTTTGTGCACAATGTCCTTTATCCACCCATCCTAGAATAAACAGTTGGCCTGTAGGGCTTTGTAGCTCCTCACTTCATCTGTTTTAAAGTACAACTTCTGGGAAATGAGAAAGTAAAAAAAAAAAAAAAAAAAAAAAAACACTATTTACACGCTGCCAAAATTTCTTGTCCTTTATTCCTTCTGATTCCTTCTGAATCCTGAACAGATTCCTTCTGATGTCACAGATTCCTTCTTAATCCTGAACAGATTCCTTCTGAATCCTGAACAGATTTTCTTTTCACACCTCCATCTAACATCTCCCTACAAGGACTCTGTAAAAAAAAAATAGTCAACTACAAATTCAACAAAAATAAATAAATAAATAAATAAATAAATTTAAAAAAAAGAAAAAGAAAAACAAATTGGTGGCACTTTAACTCATGCTGGCAGATATATACACAAACTGATGATGTGAAATGTCTCCGAGGAAAAAAAAAAAAGGAATACCAGAACTTGCGAACAAGAAATAACCTTATTTATAAGTATACAACACAATCTGAAATATATTCATTCCTTTAGCTTACAGCCAATGCTGTACCAGAAAAATGCAAAGGCTGTCCAGTATCTAACTGGATTTAGTCATTTTGAACACTTCATGTTGTTTTTCAATTGCCTTGGGCCAGCAGCTCACCACTTGAATTTCAAATGTTTGTCACCAGAGGACCAATGTTTTTTGACCATTATGAAACTGAGACAAGCCTTTGACGATTATTATTTAGCTCTCCGTTTCAAGCTATCGGTAACAACGGTGTCAGAAATAATAAGCACATGGATCAACTTTGTTTTTCCAGCTCAGTGAAATGAACATTTGGCCAGAACGTGACATTGTTGACGACTATATGTCTGTAAATTTTAAGAAATGTGGAGTATTGATTTCATGGGTAAACAAGAGTGACTGGCATAATTTGTCCTTGTCTCGTCTTTCGGTTGCATTCAAAATATCACCAAACCTAAAAATGATAAAATTTAATTAGTGAGATAGTTTTTTTTACTGTTCTTTTCAATTTGTATTTCAAATGCAAAATGAAATTGTACATTCATAGCATTAGATTTTGACCTTCAAACCATGATATATCATCTCACAACTTGTATTTCTGTATTATAATGCAACTACAGGTACATATAGTAGCTCAAGCTATGACATGATATTGATACAAGATATTTGAACATGTAAAAAACTAGCAAACTTATTTTCGTTTGCACACCTACCTCGATGCTGTTATTCTCCATGATCTTTCTTCATGCCACACTCGACTTTTACTTTGGCCTCTTGTTCTGTTTTCAAGTTCTGACACTTCCTTCTCTGTGACCTACCAACATCAATGCAAGGTTATGAGGGAGTGAAAAAAACAATGATGTTAACAAAACGATGCTAACATTCTTGGCAAACACTGTTTTGATTGTCTACCTCATCTACACTTAGTTATGTCAACTGTCATTGGCATAAAACACGCATCAACCCTTGTTTCTCCTTTACAAATTTGCGTTGACATAAGTCGTGTTAAATGTCAGACCTGGTACACAAAATTTGATTACCGAAACGAACGGTCCTTTATTGACTAGGAGTGCCTACAATAAACATATTTTAAACATGAATACCTTCATTATATTCTCGGAATATGGAAATATGCAATGACAATATCATTATCTTGAAATATAGTAATAAATTAGGCATATAAGTAGTGTGGAACTAGCCGCCGCTTACACCTGGCTTTTGACAGGGAGTTCACACAGAAACCCATATTTTACGGGAAGATTCGAGCGCGAAACCTTAAATGTTAGTGATACAATTGACACATTTATAAGAAAATACACTAATCTTTCTGTCAAATCCTGTTTCTTTCCTCTTGTGGAGGCTCCTCTTTCAACTAGTTGAAATTTTAACTTCGCCACCTTTTGCTCCCCGTACTCTAGAGCCATTTCTACACGGACGCGAAAACGAGGCTATCTTCAATAACCACTATTACCCCAGCGCCCTCTTTAGGACAAATGGCTCCACGTATAGCCCCATTGTATAGAGAGGTGGGGATGCTTTGATAACATCATATGGTCCTCTATATAAGGGTCTAAGTTCCTTACTTTCTCCCTTTTTATGACTTTCATCCCTTAAATATACCTTCTGACCCCAAGTATATTCACTCTCTCTCAACTTTGCATCGTACAGTTGTTTTTGACGTTTCTGCTCACATTTCAACTTTTCTCTAGCCATTTCATGTGATCTATTTAATTAGGCTTTCACTCAAGTTTCTCAACCATTCATGAGTCTCATATGGTATCAAATTTTCATTCACACTACCTGTTAGTAAATGCAATGGCATAAAAACTTCTCTCCCTAACATCATGATGTTAGGAGTAGACCTGTTGATGCATTCACAGTTGAATGTAATGCCATAACTAATTGAGGTAAATCTCTATCCCAATATCTCGAATTCCCTTCTACATTACATCTATAACAATCATTTGTGTAATAATACCCATGCATCTTTCAACTTGTCCATTGCTCTAAAACCAGTTGTTCTAAGTTGTTTGATTTCTGAAAGACTACACAAATTTCTAAATAAACACTTTGAAAATTTGAACCTTGATCAGTATATATATCTCTTGTGGACAACCAAAAGTAACTATGAATTTTTCAAAAAATGCTTTTGCTACTAATTCAGCTGTCTGATTTGGCAATGCCACACACTCTATCCACTTAGTAAACTGATCTATCATAACCAAAATATAAGAATTCCCAAATTCACTTTGTGTAAATGGTCCAAGTATGTCAAAGTGAACCTTTTCCATAGGAAATCCTGCATGGATGTAATTTCATTTTGGCTTTTGGTCGAACAGTACTATGCTTGTTTTTATTGCAAAGTTCACATGAACTTACATACAATTTACAATCTCCATTCCATGCCACTTGAATGATTGTTTGAGTTTTTGCAAAGTTTTCTCATAAGAAAAATGACCAGCTGTTTTTGAATCATGGCAGAAAAATAAAACTTCATTGACCAAATCTTTTGGTACAATTAAACACAAATTTCTATTCTCTCTCTTTTCCCATTTGTAATATAACACATCATTCAAAAGAATCAATTGCTCTTTGCAATTCCACAATTCTTTCAGTGCCATACTACACAAGTATAACTCTGACTCTTTAGGTTCACCATTCTCTAACCAACCTATGATTATTTTCAAATCTGCATCTTTTCTCTGCAATTTTTTCAAGTCATATCCTTTCAACCAATTTCATAATTCATCTCTTTCATTCTTATCAGTTTTTGTCATTTGTATCAGCCCTCTGACACTGAATGAACTGAATTTTTCACAATTTGTTTCATTCTTCATATCACCAATTGCATTCGATTCAACTACATTGTCATCTGATTTCTTAGTTCAACTAACACACTACATCGTCACACTATAGCCTGCATTATCCAGTGTGCTTCTGAAATGCTCTGAAAGCTGTTCAATTTTGTCATTTCATTAAAGATGCTTTGCTATTATGGAGTATTAAAAACATTTGCAAGGCTTCCAAAGTAAACCCGTGGAAAGTTATTTCAAATCACGGTTGTTTTTGCAAAGGAACAAACCACATGTTCTTCAGACTGAATCTCCTCACATATACACAAATGGTCTTCCCTGCAAATCTTTGCCAACCTTCCTTTATTTCCAAACAAATTATGCTGTTGCTAGCTGGCTTAATTTTTTTTTTTTTTTTTTTTTTTTTTTTTTTTTTTTGCACTGTCAGTGTGCCATCGTAAATTTCATGCACAATTAGCTCTGAGTTTATATAATTGAACAATCTAAATTTACTACCCTCTACCAGTGGTACTAGTAATTTGTCTTTGAATGTCAGTATTACAGATATTTGATTTGGTGTCTATAAACTCTTAAACTGTTTATAACCTTGTCTTTTTGTGATGACACATTATACTGTTTATATCATGATTATTTTATTTCACAAATCTGTCAGCATGAATTTAAGTGGAAAGGTTCCTTTTTACTGTCATCCAGGTGCCTTTATCTATCCTAGTTGATTAAACAAATCACCAAGTTAGATAAAACTCTGTAAGCAATTGTTTCTTAAATACCTGTTTCCCAATAATTCCAACGACTCTTATAACGAGCTATTTTGTTAAAAAAAATATAGGTTTGAAAGGAAGCATGCTATTTGATCCTGTTGCTTCCTTAGAGGGCATTGTGCGTGCATGGGCCATTTTGGTGTAGTAGCATACAACAGTACATGCATACAGATTGCCCCTTTCTGACTGTGGCGTAGGTTGAGTTAAATCTATCCTAATGTACTGGAAAATTTAAAAAAATAGAAATACAGTATTTTATACAGTTAATTTAATGTGAACTTCTTTAAGGTTAATTTGATGTTGAAAATAAGCACAAAATAAAGATGGTTTTTATTTCCTGTTGTAATCTTTCTTTGTTAACAAAGGGTATGATGATAAAGTATAAAGATGCAAATTTTTGCAATATTGATTTTACCTATGCTATAAGAAATTTGTCTTGTTTACCATCTGCCGTACCTCAGGTTAATTGACAGGTTTTGGGATAAGTATAGTGGAAAGCCATTGTTGCTTTTTTTGTTAACCCTCAGCAGGCATCCGTCACATTTTGACAGTACTTTGCTTCCATTGCCAACCATGTTTGGCTAATTAACATCTTTTTTTCCACTTTAGCCAGTGTCTTATCTCACCCAAGGTGGCCACCTAAGACATAAAAGAAAATAATTGAAATGAACAATTTTATACACAATTTTGACATTTGCCAATTTCAGGTATCAAATAACAGGATAAAACACAAAATGTCCATATGGTGTTGTGGACACTCATAGTCTTTTGTCAAAAGTTTTTATTAATACATAACAAGAAGGGATGCATTTAACGTTTCCAAAGCTCCTTCCATGTCTTCAGTGTTCCTCACAAGCGAGCTCATTTAGTAGAGGTCATAGTTTCAGTCTAATTTATGAGGAACGGATTTTGGCAACAAAGACACTCCCTGTCAAAGAGGCTACTGAAGGTCTCTATCACGACACTCTCTTGTAGAGGGTACCCAAACGATGTTCACACCACTGGGCTGCAACGCTCACCGATCAACATTCAGGTCCGACATCTATTACACAATCATCCAATCTGATGAGAAGTTTTTGCAAATCTCCCGGACAAGCCCCCATGTGTCAAAGATTGCTTTTATCAATATATGCAATCTGTGACAAATGCATTATGGGAAGACATTGATATTGATATTATTCAAAAATTGCTGTTATATTATGGGATGACATATCATATTATATCTCCAAAAGTTGTATTAGGGAAGACATTGACATTATGGCACTAACAATTGCTGTTATATTATGGGATGACATACTGAAGATTCAACAGTTGCTTTTTTATGAGGTCTTAACCATTGTGACATCAACAATTACTGTTGTATTATGAACAACTTTGGCCATTTTGACATCAACAATTGGTGTTGTTGAATTATTGGAATGCATTTAAATTGTGACTGGGCTTCCAGTCGCTGTATTACTGGGATGAAATCCATTGTGTTCAAACTACTGCTGTTGTATTATTGGAAGACACTGAACATTGTGACATCAACAATTGCTGTTGTATTATGGGAAGACATTGAACATTTTGACATCAACAATTGCTGTTGTGTTATTGGAATACATTGAGCATTGTGACATCAACAATTGCTGTTGTGTTATCAGAATACATTGAACATTGTGACATCAACAATTGATGTTGTGTTATTGGAATACATTGAACATTGTGACATCAACAATTGATGTTGTGTTATCGGAAGACTTGAACATTGTGACATCAACAATTGATGTTGTGTTATCTGAAGACACTGAACATTGTGACATCAACAGTTGCTGTTGTGTTATTGGAATACATTGAGCATTGTGACATCAACAATTGCTGTTGTGTTATCAGAATATATTGAACATTGTGACATCAACAATTGATGTTGTGTTATTGGAATACATTGAACATTGTGACATCAACAATTGATGTTGTGATATCGGAAGACATTGAACATTGTGACATCAACAATTGATGTTGTGTTATCTGAAGACATTGAACATTGTGACATAACAATTCCTGTTGTGTTATTGGAAGACATAGAACATTGTGACATCAACAATTGATGTTGTGTTATCAGAATATATTGAACATTGTGACATCAACAATTGATGTTGTGTTATTTGAATACATTGAACATTGTGACATCAACAATTGATGTTGTATTATGGGAAGACATTGAACATTGTGACATAACAATTCCTGTTGTGTTATTGGAATACATTGAGCATTGTGACATCAACAATTGCAGTTGTATTATGGAAATACATTGAACATTGTGACATCAACAGTTGATGTTGTGTTATCAGAAGACATTGAACATTGTGACATTGACAATTGATGTTGTGTTATTGGAATACATTGAACATTGTGACATCAACAATTGATGTTGTGTTATCGGCAGACATTGAACATTGTGACATCAACAATTGCTGTTGTGTTATCGGAAGACATTGAACATTGAAAAACAACAGTTGATGTTGTATTATGGGAAGACAATGAACATTGTGACTCCAACAGTTGATGTTGTATTGTGGGAATACATTGAACAGTGTGACATCAACAGTTGATGTTGTATTATGGGAAGACATAGAACATTGTGACATCAACAATTGATGTTGTATTATGGAAAGACATTGAACATTGTGACATCAACAATTGCTGTTGTGTTATCGGAAGACATTGAACATTGAAAAACAACAGTTGATGTTGTATTATGGGAAGACAATGAACATTGTGACTCCAACAGTTGATGTTGTATTGTGGGAATACATTGAACAGTGTGACATCAACAGTTGATGTTGTATTATGGGAAGACATTGAACATTGTGACATCAAGAACTGATATTGTATTATGGCAAGACATTGAACATTGTGACATCAACAATTGATGTTGTACTAGTACGTGTTATGGGGAGACAGATCATTGTTTTATACTTATGCTTTCATGTTTGTTTAAATTAAGTGTGAAGATTAAGTTATTTTTTCCTCTGATTTTCAGTTGAAGGGATTAGAAGTGGTACATGTATGAAGATGATATGGAGAAGATGATCACAGGGAACTGGTGCATAGAATTTCCATCCACAGTGATTGCAGCTTTGGTCACCCCATTCTTCGCAGACCCGTTCGAAAGAACCCCCCTTTTTGCTGGGAAAAGGACCCCTCTGGGTAAAATTTTTTCTAGGTACTCGTGTAGGTCTCATGGTAAAAGATCCTGTTTTTCAGAAAAAGAAACACCCTTTTTGAAAATTTTGGCTACAGGCCTGCTTCAGTACTGTTATTAAGGGTGCTCTGAATGCTAAAACCACCACTATGCTGTAAACAAGTGCATTACCTACACAACTTGTCAAGGATTTGAGGAAAAACAGTTAAGAGTATCATGGTCACTGTACTACCACATAAAAATTATCATTATTTTAAATAAATAGAGATAAAAATTAAAAAAAAAAACCAAGTAAAGCTGTCCTGCATATTCCATTGTTTCCTCTTGCATTATGACATACATTGAACACTGTAATGTCAATGATTGCATTTGTATAATGGGAATACATGAATAATCATTGTATTATGAAAAGACATAGACATTGTGGTATCAGCGATTGCTGTTGAATCATGGGAAGTTATTGACATTGTCACTTCAGTAATTGGTGTTGTATATAAGATGGCATTTACATGGTTACTTTAACAATTTCTATTATATTATGGGAGTATATTGACCATTGTGACATCAACAATTGCAGTTGAATTATGGGAGTAAGGACAATTGACACGAGTAATTTTGGGGGTATTCAGAATAGATGATCCGAGTGCTAAGTGATTTGCCGACTAAATATGACCGATCCCTCTTCAAAAGCGATGCCATTGATTCCCGATGGTCTCCCCGCCTCCACACGCGCCATTAAACAGATTAAATCTCCGCACCGAGATTTGACTGCTAAGCCCATGTGGTGGCGGGGAGACCATCATGGAATTGGCTGCATCGCTTTTGAAGAGGGATCGGTCATATTTAGTCGGCGGACCAGTTAGTACTCGGGTCATCTATTCAGAATGGCCCCTATGGTGTCACAATTCGGGTGCCGCTATTAGTTATCTAGTCCATGTGCATACTTTTGTCAAAATTGCTTTAGTTTCAATGAGTCTTCGAACTTTTTCTGCCGTGCCAAAACTACAACCACGGAAGGTGATCTAGAAATTCACGCCAGGTGTACTCACGAAAGTATGTATTTGTCAAACACCAATCGGAGGTTTTTTAAAAGATTTGGTGCAGCAGCCGGGAATCGAACCCGGGCCGCCCGCGCTGCAGCTAGGCGAGCATTCTACCACTGAACCACCGATGCGTTATGACACACTATAAAGTTACTGAAAAAAGTCTCCTGCAAGCTGCCCCCCTCCCCCCCCACACACACAATAAGGTCATCATAATGTTGTTTGATGGTAGGAAAAAATGAAAAGTAATAATCACAAGTGATTATTTTTATGGTTATTCACCCAAGGTTTAAAGTAGCTACAATGCTAAATGTTGACTCATTGATGCAATTGTCGACAACAATCTTCATGAAGGGTTGGTAGTGGTCGACTTGGGAGCTTGCAAAGTTTAAACGCGACAAGCAGTTGCGAAAAGCAAGGAGCCAACGTTTTATGCAATGTGATTTCACGAAAACAACTAAAAAATATGTGGAAAAAAGTTAAAGCTAGCGCTCAGCTGTTCGTCATTGCATGATTTTTGACAAAAGAAACCAGTCAGATGGATGACACGTTCATGGTTTGTACAATGGAGAGAGGTTCTGCTTAAAATCTGGAAGAATTATCCTTCGGAAATAGGAGAACAGTGTGGAGAAGGTTTTTAAAAATTCATTTCGCCTGAAAGAAACCCCTATTCGTAACACGACAGCATTAGCTTATTAATTTGAAACGGATATTTTGAGAACGTGGTTTTAAACGTGATATTCTTTTGTTTTCACACTTTTCCAAATATCTTCATTTCTTTGTCACATACCGCATGATTTCAATTACCTGTCAGTAATAATATAACAAATCATCGTAATTTTTTTATGAAAAAGGAGCAATCACGCAAAAGATACCTTGCAATTGTTAACGGTGTGGTGTTGTTTTTGTAGTAATATGGTACTGATTAGCTAGATTCATGCATCCTAATTCACTGTCACGTCAACACGAAATCTAACCAAAACGACAGTTCCCGCACTCCCGAAGTAAGAGCGAATCAGGGAGTCGGCCCTATCTGTACATAAACGACGTAAAATACTACAGCAGAGCCCCGAGAGGAAAGATACACATCAACAATGAAGGTCCTTATGCTCTTGGTGTTGCTAATGTATTCCTTGATCAGTTCGGAAAATTTTCTTTCAGTCGTAGTGTCAAAGCGAAGCATTCCGAGTACCCCTCGTAACTCTGCCGCAGTCACGTCTACTACTACAAATGTCCCAAGTTCTGTCAGCAGTCGAGAACAGCGGTTGACAACGACACCACCAAGGCATAAAAGCACCAGGGTACCCAGGATCACTGAGAGTGACTCCCCTATGGTCACCGAAAGTGACTCCCCTATGGTCACCGAAAGTGACTCACCTATGGTCACCGGAAGTGACTCCCCTATAGTCACCGGAAGCGACTCCCCTATGATCGTCGAAAGTGACTTACCTATGGTAACCGGAAGTGACTCTCCTATGGTCAACGAAAGTCGCTCACCCGTTGTCGACGGAAATGCCTCTATTATGCTCAACGAAAGTAATTTACCTACGGTAAACAAAAGTGGATCTCCCAAGGTCACAAGGGCGAACACAGCAGCTGTGAATAAGACATTGCCTCTACTGCCTCGTCCACAAACATGGCCACAAACAATGAGATTCATACAACACAAAAGGAACTACCAAATGTACACGTTTACTACTCTGCTTTCACTCCAGAGATCCCAAACCTCAACTCAAATATAAGCTTAACAAGCGCACGCCAACCCAGCACCAGTCATGTATCTCAAGGACATTCATCAAAACCGTCACCGAAATCAGACCAATTTGATCCAACTTCCTCCACGTTGTATTCTAAGAGGGAACTAATGCTGCTTAACGTAACAGTGAACACCCCGTTCTGTGCGGGCCGTAGTGATGGGTTAACTAATGATGTCGTCCTCGTAACCTGTTACTGCGACGACTTGTGCGACATGTTTGGTGATTGCTGTTGGCCATACGACCGCTTTTGCAACAATACCAAAATCACCGGGATTGACATACAAAGAAATGATACAGAGTGTTGGTTACAGGGGTCTAGAGAAATTGAGGACGTTTACAGTAAATACTACTGGGTAGTGTCTTCTTGTCCAAGCCACTGGCACGATGAAAAAGTTCGAAATAAATGCGAGTTTAAAGGCTGGTCCAATGACATAGCTGTAATGTTGCCCTTCTCGTCAGCAGAGTCAAACGTCACATTTAAAAACTCTTTTTGCGCCACCTGTCACAACGTGACGGCGCGCGAGGCATGGAAGCCCAAGATTGTGTGTCAAAAGTCACAAGTCGAAGTTTTCAAAGACGTTGCGACCGTTATGGGGGTTTTGGAGAAGATCCATTTGACACCAGATTGCATGCTGTTTTTTGGTGCACCGGACCAACACCCAGGTCGCCCTTGCATAGGCCCTGAAGGGGGACACGAACCCCAAAGCGGCACCAACAATGGAAGGTGCCAATTCACTTTTGACGCCGAATCTGTATGTCTTTGTAATTCTGGACCCGTGTCAGTGACGTATTTTGAAGGGCCTCATGGCCACTCTTATGGTCGGAATCTATTCTGTTGGCTTTGCCATGTGCCTCCAAATACTACCCCAAGCATCCAGCGCTGTAATGAAAACGGTAAGTCTTCTTAGTTTCAAAATCGTAATTTTTGCCATGAGCTATAAGTTATATAAGTTATTATCAAACACGGAGTGGAAATTCACCTATTCCTGTATCCCATTATTCGTCAATTCGATATAAATTCATTCCTGAACTGCTGTATACGTTATTAATGTTTATAATTTGTATTACAATACAATCGATTGTTTACACGTTATGCAAAACGTATATTTGTTAGTTATGTTCGTTCGAATCGTGCAGAGAATATTAATAAGAAAGATGCGTTGAATATCTTCCACGGTATGATATAACTAGCTTTTATAATTCTTTAAAATAAATAAATAAATAAATTTACAATAAAAAATACATTCGCCCATAAAATTACTAGATAAAAATCAGATTGTATATTTTTTTGGTTCAGTAACCATTAGAATTATTTTATTAACGTTAAAATACAATTTCTTGGCATGTTAGCATCTTCAACTTATTCATAAAAATTTTAATAATATTAACGAGGTTTTATTTTGATTGGGTATTAAGGAAGGTGGGTACGTTGCGATGTATTTCCTTATCCGCTTAGATAATGCAGAAATAAACATTGTCCCGTTATGAAATTATGCTGTCACATAAAAAGCCCTTACATCGAGGTAAATAAACTATTGTTGCGAGCTTATAAATTCAACAGCGTTTTTTTTTTTTTTTTTTTTTTTTGGAGGGGGGGTGTTGAAATTTGTGTTTTCAA